TGTGCTGCCTCAGCCCAGATGGACTGGAAGTTGGAGAGGTTGTTCTCACAGCTAGCAAACACACAACTTTGAAACTCTTGAGTGCTTATCACTTGACTTGCCATTTAAAGGATAATTAATGAATAAATTTAAAAGGATAATTATTATGGCATTTCATAGACCAAGCAAACTAGTCATTAAGCCTTACAGCAAAGCCCTGTTCATTTACTTAAAAATACCTGAGGGATCTGGTATTTATCACCACTTTATATACTGTCAACCTTGCCTCTCTGTTTTTGCAATAGATTTAAATTTACAAATGTTTAATTACTTAAATATGAAACACCCAAAAGGTCCCAGTGTTGCTTTCACAGCTGTTAAGTAGTAGGAAAAACTTAATGTTTTATTAACTTCCTCCTTCTCCTGTACAGCCCAACTGCAGTAGATATGCAACTATTCTGTTGACCTGTTATGTAAATGAGAGCAAATACACCTCACTTACTTACTTAAAATTAGCATGTTTCCTTGGTTAACAACCAAAAAAAAAAAATTACCTACCTTGAAAACAAAGCTACTTATAAATAGGGATGTGCAGTGCATCACTGAAAATACGTACAGACCATCTGGTCCTGTCCCCACTCTGCAGGCAGGACCAGTGTTAGAGTAGCTATGGCTGAACTGGGTTTCTTTAACTTGTTCCTACACAAAGTAACGCTTTGAGCCAAGGACAAATGGATCTGAACGCTACCTCTAGATCCAGGGCTTCACAAAGCAGCTTCCGCGCGTTCTTTCTGAAAGCCTCAGTCTTGGGATCACTCCTGACCTCTATTGAGGGCTTGTTTGAATGGTCTTTGATGAAAGTTCGCCACTCTGTGTAAATATCTTTGGCAAGGCAGGCCACATCGTGATCTGAATGTTTGCGCATCTTATTCACTGTGTGACCTGGAAAACAGCAACAGCTCCTTCAGCTTTGTTAAGTGGACAAAACATAATGGATACCAGTAAAATCATATTGGTGCTAAAGCAGCCATGCACATTTTTAACTCAGGCAGTGTCAACAAAACCACCAGAGCATTGACACAAATATAAATATAAAATTATCAGGAATGAAGCCTGAAGTTCGCACTCCTTGACTTCTGCAGTGATTTTTGCCTAAGCAATTAGCAAGGAATTGACCTGTATGTGTGAAAATTACCTTCCCAAGTCACCAAGGTGTGGAGAGTCACTTATGTAATACAGGGCTACGTTAATTTTCTACACAGATACTAGATCTCGTGAAAGCTTGTAAGATTGGCCTACAAAGAATGCTGTTTTTAAACTGAAAACCCCTTTAAGGAAGCAGATGTTGCTGCTGATGGCTACAGCATTTTAACACACAAACATCACGGTGACTCCAAGCAGAGTCTTTCCAATCGACAGGGCCTGCCAGTGCAAAACGGGCTTTTCTCTGAGAGGAGACAAAAGGGACCTTCTTCCAGCAGGGTATTCCTCTCTGACCACTAGCGCTGTTGGCCAGGAGATGTCACTGTTAGGCTTCGGTGGCTCTTCCAGCCCAGCCGCGTTCAGGCAGGCACTGGGAAAAATGTCGGGGAAAACCTTAATTAGCTGAACATGGCAAATGAAATGACAATTCAGAAGTAAGGGGAAAGGGGCAGATCGCATCTCCTTTTCTAAGGCAAGGGAGAAGCTCTTTCAATAGAGACGCAGCTGCTCTAATGGCAAACAAAGGCCAGCACGACCATCTCTCGCGCGAGGATGCTCTCAGACTGGAAAGACAGGGACCATGTGGTCCCACATTATCCCTCCCCCAAGTCCTATGGCAAAGAGTCAGACATCGGGCTGTGTTATTTGCATGGAGCTGCCCATCTGCTTGGGATTCCTCAGTGTGAGGATGCAGTAAGCACTTCTGGGCCAATCTGAGGAGAATTTCTCATGTGTTCAGAGGATTCAGCCAGGTCAAATAGATGAGCCATGTCTTGGATAGCAAGAGAGCACTCTGCCATGCTCCTGACAGATTGCAGGAGAAGGAATAACACACACAGGTGCCCAAGAAGAGCTCTTCAAAAATTTGATGGCAGAAGGGGCAATGCAGTATTTGATTATAAGCAGGCAATCTGGGAGGAATTAGAGGATAGCTGACACTGTCAGTACAACTGCTGAAAACTGCAGACTGAATACCAACAATTTTTTATTCAATGATTGGATAAACCTTTTGAGACTACAACTGCACTAATTCCTTAAAAGGCTTGCAAGGTAGTCTCTTTTGTACCGACAAACCAAGCAGACACAAGGCAGTCTAATATTCACAATCTAGATCAGACAAGATATACCTATTTTTGTGGAAAGTAACACTTCCTTGGAAGGTATTTTCTTCTTCAGCTCCTCCAAAGCTTCAATCAGATTCTCTTTTGGTTGCCCAGGAAGCTCAAGCATAGATTTCCATCTTTTTATGTCTTCCACAACCACAACTCTCTGTAAAAGAGAAAAGCCATTAGGAAAGCAGAATATTGTTATTATAAATAAGGACACTGGCTTTACCTCAGCTAATGGGGCTATTATCAACACATGAATTATTGATTATGGTATGAACCAGAGCACAGAATACTTGGTATTTGCTTGAGATTAGCACCCTACTGCAAATCAAGACATTAGTAACTATAAAGCAAAGCAAGATGCTTAACCTTGATCTGTCAAACATCTGTCAAACTTAGGGCACATATTGGCAAATGTCTGCTAGAAGTGCTCTGAACTTCAGGAGTCCACTGTATAAATGTCTCTTAATAGAAAAAGGGATTAAGAGGGAGTCAGCTAATTATCCTTAGCAGCCTGGTGGAATCTGAATCCTGCTCAGATTGGCTTTAAATTTAAGATAATGCCAGCAAGGAGAGAAACAAAGCATTAAGGAACATGAACATAAACTCATGTACACTGGGCATTGGCAGTGTTTTTCACCGTGTTTTTGCCACAGACATTGACAGAACAGACTGTAAACAGCACAAGTCTCATTTTGGATGTGAGGCATCTTGCAAAGATTCAGCAACAGACTGCTGTGGTGCTTCACACACCATCCTTTTGCTTTCTGCCTTATGTTAATAAGCTCTTTAGTGCAGCAAATGTTTTCCTGTTGTGTTTCTACAAACAGGTAGCAAAGAGGGGCTCAGCTCTTACGCAGGTCTCGCACAGGACCACCATGCAACCAACTGAAGGGCTCCCCTTGCTGGGGACAGAATTGAGCCCGCTGGCAATATTGGAGCTGGTGCTGTCACCTGGCTGTACTCAAAATGTGTGCCCAGCCTGACCCTACACCATACCAAATGGGCAGGAAGGAGCCAAATTATAACCCGCCTCAGTTTAGGAAACCCCTTTCAATGCAGCAGAGCCCTCTGCACCTTTCTAACTTCACTTCTGTGTCCTCTGTGAGGATGCCACCTCAACGCTGCAAAGATTTTGGTGAAGAACTGGAACCACAGGTGAATCCCTAGGTGGGCACAGAGTGACTGCTGGGAAGGTGTGCTGAGATTAGCACCTTCTCTGATCGTAAAGGACATCAGTTTGGGCTTAATTTACAAAACGTTCCTCCCGCTGTCAACCAATGCTGCTCAGCTCCGTGCAGAGGCAGGATGGCAGCCTGGCGAAGGCCTGATAGCCCTTCTTCTGCCCGAGGTGCCTCAGGGCCAGCCTGGCTCCTCCTGGGGTGCTCCCGCCACCCTTGCACACACCTCTGGGGAACAGCGCAGTCCCACCCCAGCGCAAGGCCGGGGGAAGGACTCACCTCGTGCGCTCGAAGACAGCAGGGCCGCGGTAGCACCCGGGGCCGCGGAATGAAGACCTCCCCTCAGGCCCGGGGGGCCAGGGCAAGCCGTCCCCTACACCCACCCCCCGCTCCGAATGCCGGCGCCCGGCGGTGACCTGCCTTGAG